ACCTCTGGACAGAGAAGGCAAAAGACAGGACAAGAGTTTCCATAGATTTTAGCAGAGTATGGAGGTGTAGGCCTGTAATCCAATCACTCTGGGAGGCTGAAACAGGAGGATTACATAGTCAAGCCCAGCCTGGGCGACTCAGCAACTAAGCAAGACCCTGTCCCAAAATAAAAATAAATAAAAAATGAAATTTAAAAAGCTGAGGATGTAGTCAACGTGAAAGGCCCTGTGTTCAATCCTCAGAACCCACACAAAAAAGTATTTATAGATTTTATTTCATGAGAGAGAGAGGGTGAGGGAGAGAGAGAAATCTAAAGCAAATGTGGCAAAATGTCAAGGCAATGAAATAATTAAAAGTAAACCTAAATAGGACCTTTGTTAAAAGGTGTGTTCCTCAACAGAACAGGGCCTATATCATAATGGCTTATCATTTGTTGGTGAGGACCAACAGATTAATGCATTATAGAAACTTGGACATGAATGGCAGAAGACTTGAGGGCTGGTGGACTGAGCATGTAGCAGCAGGCACCAAGGCCTTTGGATCAATCTCCAGTGCCACAAATATAGGAGATTACTTGAGCAATGGGGAAAAAATAAGAACAGTGCTGAGATGAGAGAGGTTTGAGGCCAGCCTGGGCAACATAAGGAAGTCTCTGTCTCAAAAAAACAAACAAACAAACAAAAAAAACCACTAAGGATAGTAACTTCAAGGCCTTTGACTTTGCTCGTGGTGTTAAATTGGGATCTGAGTAACAGAGTAGTAGTGCAAAAGAGATGATAAGTAGCTGCTACTACAAATGTACAGTGGCTCTCACTTGCCCACTATATATCAATACTTAATTTATTTTCTATGACTGTAATGTATACTATATCATACACTTTTCAAGATTTCAAAGCTTTCATTTAAATTATCTCCATTGCTTTTTACAGCAATACCATGAAATAGGCAGAGCAAGTATTATTCTTTTTTCACTGTGGATAAACAGCTCCAAAGAGATTTGATCACTTAGTCAAAGTTATAAGAGATAGCATTCCTTCTTTCCTTATTATCTGGACTTAAAATAGGGACTTACCTTGGACTCATCTCTAGTCCTGTATCCAGCAAAGCATCAGTTGCTATAGACCATCTCTACAAACTGTACTTCCATTTCTTCCTCTCCATTTCCTTTCCCACCATCCAGATTTGAGGACCTGAGTCACAACTGGGGAGCCGGACTTCCAGTTTCCCCTTTTTCCTTCCAGTCCATCCTGCAGCCTCCTTGTAGACTAAACTTCCCTGAACACCACTTCCATTATATGTCATTTCCCAGCTCAAAAACTCTTCCTGACTCTCTTCCCTCAACCAAGATTTCAAAGTTCTCCTTAATATGAACTCACCTTTTCCATTAATGCTCAAAGCAGGTGCTTTGGAAATATAAATGTCCAAAGGATGCAAATTAAAACAATAGTCATTTCAGCTATCAAATCCCTGAAGTTTTATGGTTTTTACTTTTAAAATGCTACTGTTTAAAATAGAAATAAAACAGTCTCTTATCTACATCTAGTAGAAGTATTGACAGGTCTAATCTTTTGGAAGGCAGTTTGGTTATATGGGTCAAGTGTGTTTTGACCTAGAACTCTCTGTGGGAAACTATCCTGAAGAAATAATCTGAAATACAGAAAACTCTTTGTGCCTAAAGATGTTAATTATACTATTATTTAGAATTAAATTACTAGATATGCCCAATACCAATCGATAGGGAAATGATTAAAAATTATTAGAGGCACATATAATGGATGATTTTATTAAATCTATATAAATATATATGAATATATGGACATATATGGATGTGGAAGGTATTTACAATATTTATTAAGGGAGGAAGTATTTAAAGTTGTATAATGTTTAGGAGAAATTTTACAATTTTTCTCTAGTGATTTTGTTTTCTCTCCCCAAAACATTACTTCGCACGTTTTCCCTCTCTTCAAAACTCCTAAGTTTCTTTTTCTTACTCACTTTTGCAGATGAGTAGCTCTGGTTTGTTGAGAAAATGTATCATCAGATTTTCCACTCTACTTGTTCTTTCCACTCTCATCCTAACTAAGTGTCCCTGCTCCTATACAAAGTCAACTTGGCCATTGATTACATCCCTCTCATTTCTTCAGGATTCTGCTCTTGGCATTATCTCTTCTGTCCCCGGTATCATCAACCTCCTTTTCTTCCAGAGTATTTCTGTTAGCACATAAGCATGCTATAAAATTCTACATCTTGCAAAATAGTTATTGTCTTGATCTTCTCCAGCCACCTCCATGAAGCAAACCCCACTGCCACCATCTCCATTTGGTCACCTCCTACCCTCGTGCTGTGACTGTTGGGCTTTTCTCCCTCATATCACTGAAATGGCTCACTGTCAAACCCAGTGGGTAGTTGGGTTACTTCCTTGTAGTCTCTTGGTAGCACAGAACAGAGCTGACTGTTCTCTTCTATTATTTCCTTGGGGTCTAGGAACCACACTCTACTGGTTTTCTTGATGCCTCTTGGGATCCTCCTCCTATTGTGTGACTCCTTCCTCCTCTTATTCCAAATTCTCAGGGCTCAGCCTTCAGACTTCACTCCTTTCCCTCTGTTCTCTGCCTATGGCACCTGTCTCTGTGCCCGTGACTTTCCTTGCCTTCTCTACTCTAATTCTGCAATTGACTCTCATCCTGACCTCCTCCCTGAGCTCCTGATGAAACTTACCTTTGGATGTGCAGCAGCCATCTCATTTATGGTATGCCAAATGGATCAGAACTCAATCTATCTCTGCCTCCCTCCCTCCCCATTTCTCTCTCTCTCTCTTTCTCTCTCTCTCTCCAATCCTTTCCATCACAGGAAAGATGCCATAGTTCCCCACCTGTCCAAACCATTACTCAGGAAGTCAATCTTTTACAGATTTTCCTTACATTTCACATACTGTCTGTAAGCAAGCTGACTGGTGCTGCCTTCAAACAAATCCCCCAAAGCTCCACTGCTTGCAACATAGTCACTCCAGCCCAAACCACTATGTCTTTCATCAGACAAATTCAGTAGCCAGCTACTTGCTTTCCAGCCTGCTCTCTGTAGAGTTTTACAATCCTCTAATGACTTTAGACTATACTTAGAATAGAATCTTAAGTCCTTACCATGGCCTCCAGGATTATACATGAATTGGACCCTGTCTTGTTCCTGTTTCTTTTTCCCTGAAGTTCTGGGCTGGAACCCAAGGCCTCCACCAAACTGCATTTCCAACCCTAGTTCTCACCTCTTCTGCTGGCTTATTTTGCCTTACCACAGTGACCTTTTTACTGTTTCTTAAGCTCATTTCTGTCCTCAGAGACTATGTATTTACCACTCCCTGTGCCTAAAATTCCGTTTTCCAGGACTTTCTTTCTTCCCACAATCTTCAACTTGACTTATTTTCTTCATGGATTTTATTTCTACCTGAAATTATGTTATTTATTTATAATTCTCCAAATCTAGAATTTAAACCCTTTGTATGAAAAAAAATTTACTTGCCTGATTATTATCACCAACATCTAGAATACTGTCAAGTATATATAAGAAGCTCAAAAATACTTGTTATATGAGGAACAAATTATGTAAAAGTTCACAAAAACAAAACTAAAGGAACAACATCTGGGAGGAGATAAGATTGTGTTTTGTTGGTCTTTTTAAACATTTTATGCTTTCAAATATTTCTCAAAGTTTCTGTATTAGTTGTGTCTTTTGTAAACATGGAAATATAAACTATTTATACCAACAAAATATAGACTATACCCTGGTCAGGTCTACTTTATTACTATTCCAGAACAAACCCTCACTGCACGTTCATTTCAACATCATGCCTTTTTTCAAGCCTTCCTTTCTCCCTGTACCTCTGATAATCCTTCAACTCTCATTCAAGGGCCATCTCCTCCATCAGCCTTCTCTGAGTACACCCATTCTCGCTGATCTCCTGCCCTTTCCCAGACTATGCACTAAGCTAGGTATGTTGCTCAAACATTTATTCATTCTCATTCATTAAATATGTTTTATATGGTTTATGTATGTGTCTATCAGTATGAAGGAAAGACAGAGAAAGGGCAGTGTAAATTAATTTTCTCTCTTGGGCAGATACCACATCTTACTCTGCTGCACAGAGTCTCCAACATGCACTGATGGCAGAGGAAATACTCAATAAACACTTGGTGATAGAAGCAGGTGGCAAATCTACTAGGTCCATAGGCCTTTCACAGTTCTGAAAATTTACAGTGTTTCCTTCACTATACCATGTTCTTTATTACTGAATACATTTACTATGTGCCATGCACTTGCCATTCATTTTTACACTTATTACATAGGAACTGCTTTAATTTTTATTTTAAGGTGGAAGAAACTGAAACTTAGAAATGTTAAGTAAATTGCCTTAAGTGATGAAGCCTGCAGTGGTTAAAGCCTGGATTCAAACATAGCTCAAGCTTTTTACCACTGTACTATACCACACATCAGGCTATATGACAGATGAAATATCATTTCCTTTGGCCCAAATGCCACAAATATATTTCCAATTAAACTGCAAGTTCTTGGTCAAGTTATTGAACCTCTGGGGGTGGATCTCAGTTTCTTCCTTTGTAAAAGGGAAACACTACATAATGGGTGGTTAGAAGTGTCAACATGTGAATGGTGTGCTGCAGGGTGCTTAGCACACAGTGGGTATGGAGTATATGTGGTTGTTATCATTAGATATGCTACCTTCTTGATATCAAAACTTTAAACTCTGAGTTTGGCAGCTCCCCTCATGGCTCTCTACTGAGTGGGATATCTGCATTTCCAAAACTGGAGATCACAGACTGCTGTGTTGTGCAGGTGCCAGAGAGAAGCCTAAAGAAAGAGAACTCACAGACCAGCCCAAGTTAACAAGATTCCTTTGACTGGATACATAAGGATAGGAAGACACCTAGGTTACAGAAGTAGCTGTTTCTGTTTGTCAGGCTCACTAATGTAAACATTTCTCACTCCTCAGGAATTATTTTAGGACCAGGAAACAGCACTCTGTTTATTGAAAGAGTCACAGAAGAGGATGAAGGTGTCTATCAGTGCAAAGCCACCAACCAGAAGGGGGCCGTGGAAAGTTCAGCATACCTCACTGTGCAAGGTAAACAGCTGCATAGGAAAGCAACAAGAAGCTGTTCAGACACCTATTTTCCTATTTATTTAACTTCCCACCTCCCAGTCTCCTGCCACCTGGCTAGTGTGTTCCTCTCCCTGATCTCCTGCAATGCTTCACTGCCCCTCCGGGAAGGGCTGTCTGGTTCTGTCAGGCAAGGCAGCAGGTGAAGACTGGCTGGCCATCCTTGGGAGACCAGTATCTGTACAGGTTGTCCAGGGAAATAGTTCCTGGAGGAAAAGAACCCCCACCACTCACAGTATGATTACAGTGACCCACAGAGAATGGCCCCGGTGGTTCACACCTGTGAGAAATAAGTCCAAGAAGAAAGAAAAGGCAGGGGTTGCGGGTAGGGAGCATGGGCAAGGAGAGAGGAACCCACACCCTTGAATCTGTTCATTTTTTTTTTTTCCTTTCTGATTCCCATAAGTTAGACATATGCTGCTTTTCTCAATGTTTTCCTAAGCTAGTTTTTATTATGAATAGATGTAAAATATTGTCAGAGAGAAGCAACACATAATAAACCACATTTTAAAAAAATATTACAAGTGCTTCCTCCTTCTAGGCCTCAGACAGTTTGTTGAGCAGCAAAATTCAAAAAAACTTGAGTATGCCCAGATGGCTTCCATTTGGAAAATAAGTTAAGCTTAGTTTCAATTCCTCAGTGCTAGAATCATGTAAAACAGAAAACTTACAGTGTTATGAAATAATAAATTGGTGCCTCTCAGGTACAACTGTCAATATTGAGGTTTGACATGAAAAGATCCAAGGTATTCAGTAGCCTGTTTCCAAATATTCACCAGCATACAGTGATACCTCAGTTGTCAAACAGTTCAAAACTTGAACTTTCTACTATTCCAACAGCACAGTTAAAAAAAAAAAAAACAAAAACTGGTTGGTGTTCATAACTTTGCTCCATAGTCAACCAAAAATCTCACTTGAAAAAACCTGCCCAGGCCAAGAAGGAGTCACACATCACACCGCACTGTAGACTCAAAGGGGTGATGCTTCAGGCTAAGTGCCACTCTCACCAAGATAACATACAGTGCTTGTGTTAGTGCATTAACATATTCATAATTATACTTTTTTGGCACTTCATTTACATAAAATATCATAACCATGGCTCCAAAGAAAGTTGGTGATACCAGCAGTAAAGCTCTAAGAGGAAAACTGTGAGAATCATGATACAGTTAAAGAAAGCATTTTGAAATTTGTTAAAGCCTTGAAAAAAATGAATTTATAAGTCTAATTTTGGGGCCTAAGAACCAATAGTTTGGTTTTTCCATTATTTTTTATGGGCAAATGTGTTCAATTCTCAAACTTTTCAGTGTTTGAACATGAATTTGGAACAAACTGAGTTCAATAATCAAGGTATCACTGTACTTCAAAATATGCAAGTACTGGGCTTGAGGATGGAGAATGTGGTCAGCAGTAAAGCGTTTGCCTAGCATGTGCAAGGCTTCGAGTTTAATTCTCAGCACCACCAAAGCAAAACAAAAATGAGAAAACAAACAAAATAACCCCAGAATATGCAAATACTTCTGCGGAGTAATCAAGAAGAAGGTAATTTACTTTAATTCTCTTGCCTTGGAAACTTACATTGCTTAAAGATTATCACTCTGAGAATTCAGACTCCTTTGAAACAGAATTACCATCTCCATTCATTTACAAGGAGGTAATTTAGACTTTTCTAAAACTGAAATCACCACAAATTTATATTTCCAGAAAAAGTAAGAGAGTCCCCAAATACCCTTAGAATGGTCCTGTTTGTTTAGCAAATGACTCCTGTTTAAAAATACTCTTTCAACTCTTCTGCTTATACAGAGAAAACAGTTTATTCAATGTCCATCTCTCTTGAACATCTCCTTCCTCAAATGGTTGCTCCTCTATCTTTTAACAATGGGAAAAGGGCTAGAGATTTAGCTCAGTGGTTCCACCACCTGCCTTTCAAGTGCAAGGACCTGAGTTCAATCCCCAGTACCAAAAAAAAAAGAAAAATGGGAAAGCACCACAGGATCTGAATCCCCAGATTCAACCAACTGTAGGTCAAAAATATGCAGAACAAAAAAACTACATCTCTCCTGAACATACACAGATATTTTCCTCGTCATTATTACCTAAAAAATATGGTATAATGACTTTTTATAACATTTACATTGTATTAGGTATCATAAGTAACTTAGAGATGATTTAAGATATACAGGAAGATGTCCATAGGCTCTATGCAAATACTACCCCATTTTATAAAAGAGTCTTGAACATCCTCAGACTTGGGGGTCCAGGAACCAATTCTCCTCAGAGACCAAAAAATAGCTAGACTTGATGCTATTACCCATGTAAGAATCCAAAGAGGTAAATAGTGTTATGCTCAATCTACAGATGAAAAGAGGGAGACTAAGAGGCTAAGTAACCTGCCCAAAGTTACACAATAAACACATGGTGAGTCAGAGTTGTGTCCAGATCAGTGTAAACCTCCTAAGAACCCCACCCTCCTTCCATTCTTCTCATTCCTGAGAAGGCAGTTGTCTGCCAGGCCCCAGGACAAAACTGAGCTTTTACACTTTCAATTACCCTGCCATTTTGGTTTTCTCACTACATACTTCTTAATTCCTTACACTGGTACCTTTTTCAATTGGCATTATGCTCTTCTGAAATGTCTGACAATTGAAAGAACACTGCATCACCGATAATTTCTAGAAGTTTCTAGAAGCCTCTATTATTTACTCCTGAGGAAAGGGAAGAGTTTTCACTTGAATTGCCTGTGTTGGCTGCCATTGCCAATGTTCTGACCTCCATCATCTCTTGCCATCAGTTTTCAGCCTCCTAACCCACCTACCTACTTCTCTCACCTTTCAGAAATCCACTTCTCAATCTAAAGTGATATTTTCCAACTGTCATTTCCCAGTGTAGGATATCACAGTGGCTTTCAATTGCCTATTGCCCTCCTCCAGGCACACAGTGCTTGATTGGACTCCAAGGGCTCCTTCTCAGGCTCATCTCTCATCCTCACCTGCTCATCCCCAGCCCTCCAGCTAAAATCTATTTGGGAATCTGAAAACACTGGAGCTCTTCATGGACACGGCATTTCCACATCTGTTTTCTGGTACTTGAACAGCCTTCCTTCCCAACTTGATCTCGCCCCACATAATCTTACTCATCCTTCAAAACACACTCTGGTGTCACATTCTCTGTTGCTGACCTTATCTCACCATTTTTTATCTCTATGCTCCCAGGGTGCTTGATGTGTCCCTTGGAAGCTACGCTTACCATTGTTTCTTGTCTTTTTAGTACATTCCTCTTGGCAATAACAAAACTAGTTAGGTTACAACTGGTTAGGCATTAGATTTTCTGAGGAACTGGTACTTCTAACTCATGGGCTTTTCTCCCACATATGGCTTCGATCTGGCCTTCTCTCATGTTATCTCTTTTATAATTGTTTCCTCTGCTCTCTGAACAATGGCATATCCAACCCTTTTGCTCAAAAAATATAGTTAGCTGAGAAACTAGATCACTTCATCTGCAATCATCAAAACACATCTGAAATATTCTGCCTATTTTAAAAAGAATAAATAAATGGAGCCATTTATTTGAACAGGACACTGAATAATATGGAAAACTTGGGATAGTTAGCTTAGAAAAGAGACAACATAGAAAATGTAACTGTTTCAAATACTTAAGGAGCTTTCTGACAGTGAGGCATTTAACTCACTTTTTGTCACTCCTGAAAAGATAACTAGAACCTAAAAAGGGAGATGATGCAAAAGTTTCCAGGATACAAGTTTCAGCCCTATGTGAAGATATAATTTGAAATAAGAAGAATTTTTGCAAGTTGATATTGGGTGGATTGAAGGAAAACTTGAATGTATATTTTAGGTGTATTATCTTGATCTGAATTATTTTCAGCTCACTAAAGAAATCTGATCCTGGGATGCTGTTCAGAGCAGTTGAATGTAGTTATCTGCTTGGTAATTTTACAATAAAATTGGATTCTTGCTCTGAAGTCAGCCTGGTAGCTGTGAAACATTCTCTAGGTTTAGACGTGATTTCCTATTAGATGCATATGGACTCTTCACATTGACCTATCTTGTCTAACTGAGTTTAGGAAATGAAACTGGGCATACAAGTTATGTCTGTGGCTATGTTTAACAGATTTAAAGAGGTTCAGGAATTAGCCAGGAAGGAAACTGTCTGCTCTTTTTATTTCCTTTGAAGAAGGATTCTTATACTCAGATAAAACAATGTGTTATTTTTGTATGTGAAAAGGATGAATGGACTGTAGAGTCAGAGTACCTTCTTTAAATAATCACAGGTCTTGTTTGGTTTGGACAGAGCCTGAGCACATGTAGAGTTCTCAAAGGGGAAGTTCCAATATCAAGATCAACAATAAAACTGTTAGCAACCAAAATTATTTTTGAAATTAGTCTATAAACATACCAGCCTGGATATCTGATCACTTCTGAAATTAACATAGCATTCATCCAAACCTCAGAAATTGATAGGACTATTACAATGGAAGTGTGGCACATTTTCATCCAAAGATTTAACATAATCATATATTATCATTATTATTGCAAGCAATAACCACAATATGTAAAAGAACTTTCTTATAACAGATGTAGGCATTACTGTATTTCAACAACATTACACATTAGGAAACTTGAAGAACAAGTATTATTTTAAAAATGATTAATGGATATAAAAATGACAGAAGACATGAAATGATTCCCTTAAGGTCCTGCCGTGTTAATACTTGATATGTTCTTATAGATGTCATTTGTAAAATTTGTGCCACAATAATTGTATATTGATGCATATTTGGGAAAATACCCACACTATCTAAAGTATGATTCTCTAATAAAATTCCATGATTCAAGAATAGAAAAGGCTCAAAACTAAATTGCCTGGGTCTACAACCACTACAATTTTGCAGCCTCTGGCCAGGTTTCAGTTTTCAGTTCCTATCTGAGCATCCTCTGGTCCCTGAGTGT